GTGGAGAGAGAGACTGCTGGGTGGAGCCAGGTAGGAGCGAATGGGAGAGAGGTAGATTAGTACTCTACCATTTCTGGAAAAAATAAAGCAATCATTATGACCGTTGTCAGATAGGAACGTTCTATTCTGTGCGGAAGACGGTAGTCCCGGGCTCGACCATTGGTGCGAAAAATTGAAATATTTCGGTCCTGAAGACGTGCGTATGAAGACTCCCATCTTGTTTTTTTTTTTTTTTTTTTTTKTCCGTTTCCTCTTTCTGTCCCTCTTTTTTTTGTCGTGCCTGGATTTTTTTTTCTCTTCCTCGTGACTGACTGAATGTTGTCTTTTTATCGTTCTTTCGAAGTTGGCTTCTTTTTGTCGTGCCCATGGTTGATTAGTTAGGTATATATGATCCATATGTAGGACTAGGATTACCGTTCTTGACCCGAATAGAACGCCCCGTCATTATCGCTGTATCTGGCTCGCAAATTGCTCCAAATACGGCTGTAATGACTAGGGGCGTTCTATTTCCGGATTGGTGAAGACGGTAGTAGTCCTGGACTGACTTTGGTAACGAGTTTTTTTTTTTAATTTTTTTTTTGTAACGAGACTTTTAGCTCGTTGGAAAAGGAAAGAAAGCTTCCCAGGCCGAAATTTTGTGTTCCCAGGCCGTTTTTTTGTTTTTTTTTTTTGTTTCCTTGTTTTTTTTTTTTGTTCCCCGGTCGAATTTTTGTGTTCCCAGGTCGAATTTTTGTGTTCCCAGGCCGATTTTTTTTTTTTTTTTTTTTTTTTTGTTCCCCGGACGAATTTTTTTTTTCGTTTTTTTTTTTTTTTTTTTTTTTTTTTTTTTTTTTTTTTTTTTTTTTTTTTTTGTTCCCCGGACGAATTTTTGTGTTCCCAGGTCGAATTTTTGTGTTCCCATGCCGATTTTTTTTTTGGTTCCCCGGGCGAATTTTTGTGTTCCCAGGTCGAATTTTTGAATCGAATTGGATCAGTCTGGATTAAAATATATCTCATTTCAGGTGTCTTTCCTTCGAATAAAGGAAGTCTTTTGGTATACATCTCGTTTCTGGTGCCTTTCCATGTAAGGGAATGAAAGGGCTCTCAGTTCAATATTTTTGAATCGAGTTGTGGTACGCTGGAATAAGATATTTCATTTTAAAAAATGACTGAAAAGACAAAGAATGGAATGCTGGTCTGGAAAGTGCACCTGGCTGCCCAGGAGATTCAGGTACATGAGAACGGACCAGACTTCCTGTAGTCCACCTGCACTCTGCGGAGAGAGATATGGCTGTTCCGTCCAGAATATCCAGGTACATCAGAATGCACCTGACTTCCTTCACGTCGACGTGCACTCTACGATGGTTCTTATCCGGGTACGTCAGAGTGCACGTGGCTTCTTTCGCGTCCAAGTGCACTGTCAGGACAGAGCTATGGCTGTTGCTATGGCAAATCGAGCGAACGGAAATTACACGGGGAATTTGTCATTCGGATTGCATCAGAATGCACCTGGCGTCCTGTACGTCCAAGTGCACTCTGAGGAGAGAGCTATGGTTTTTGCCATGGCAAATCAAGCGAACGAAAGTTGCACTTCCTGAGAACCGCTACAGGCCACATGTGATTTTTTTATTTTTTTTAAATTTTCCGAATCAGATATGAGACTGATCAGAACAATTTACTTGCAAGAAAAAGGAAAAAAGAAAAAAAGAAAAAAAGAAAAAAAGAAAAAAAAGGAAAAAAAAAGAACAGGGACTACTTTTGATCTTAGCCACAAAGCCGAGAAAGCAGTTCTCATGTGACGAATGTGCGAAGAGGGTATACCATTATCAGAATGCACCTGGCCAACTGCAGGCGCAGGTGCACTAGACTGTATCTGGACGCCCGGCGGGGGCGGATAGGCACACATTCAAATGCCCCTGGCCAACTAACAGGGCCAGGTACATCAGAAGTACCTGCCTTGCTGCGTGTTCAGGTACATCTGAATGTCGATCAATGCTACGTCGGTATGTACATCAATCTTACATCATTGCTTCCCTCTGCGACCTTCTTGTCCCCCATGTTCCTGCTTTGTTGTTGACGTCAACGCAGATCACAACTGGATGCAGTGGAGAGGCTCGATTCCCTCAGAGATGTCAGCGAATCATCATTGACACCTTCGACGACAACAAGGTTGGTTTCATTTTTTTTTAATTTTTACGTGAATGTACTAAGCTATATTCTTCTGTCAGATTCACCTTTGCCAAGCAAGCTCTCGGATTTTTTTTTTTTGGGATTGTCGCGTCTTCTTTCGTGTTTCTACCTAACGAGAGAAAAAAGAAATCATGGATTTTTTTTTTTTTTTTTCTCTCCTCAAAAAAGCATCCACTGAGCATCCACTGAGTTTCGGCGAGGTACGGGTACGTCCTCCGTTCTTGCTTGTATTGTTTTTTTTCCCCCCCTCCGAAAAAGTCTATGTCACCTGGCCCCACCACCGGGCCAGCCACCGCCCCCTACAGCGGGTGGGTGGTATTTGGTGGAATGT